GAGAAACTTGAGCATTTTCCGATGTTATGAGTAAAGACTCAGTGAGTAAAGAGAAGTTGAAGATACATCAGAGGAGGCAGAACAAGATGGCATCCAGATCCCTGATCTTAGGCATTTTCTTGCAGAAAGCAATTATATTAACTATATTAATTATATTAACTAATTAACAGAGAGAAGGATTTCTATTTATCTTCACACACATCAGCAAAAATTAAGACTGCAGTGATTCTGTGATGTCATAATGTATAACTGTAAAAGGTAGACTCCAAATCTTTAGCGTTAAATAATGAGAAAAATGCAATAGGCACTTACTAAAAATTAAAATTAAAAATGGGATTGCCCCATATTCCATTTGTTAACGGTCCTATTCTTTGCTTTTACTTTCTATATAGGTAAGTTTTGAGATTTTTTTTGCACCTCTCTCTTTTTTCTCTTGTTTCTTAATTACTAGAATTGCAGTATTTACCCTTAAAACTAGACCCTCCTAAAGTCTGATGAGTGAAATATTCTTTTTCTTGTAGCTGCAAAAGAGCAGACTGCATTCTACATCATAAACTCTCTTTACACCTATTATTTTTAAGAAGGTTGATTTGTAAGACACCCAGACTTTAGAGATTAGTGCCATGTCCTGCAAAAGTAACCTTTTACCTCCTAAAGTTCTAAAAGCCTGATTCATTATACTAAATCTTGTGTTGCTTTGGTAATAACATTTAAATTGACATTCTGTTTCCTGTAAAATATACTTTTTTTTTCTTAAACCAAAATGGACTTATTGGTACTTCCCTTCTCCTTCTATACCGTGAAAGTAATAAAACCATTTTTTCTGAATTTTTTAACAATAGCACTCTATTTTCAAATACAGTTTTACATAGAACCAAATAAATTTAAAAAATTTTAGAAAAGGACTTATTTCTTACACAATTATCCTTTTCATATTTTATGGAAAATTGTAACCCTTTAAAGTACCTCTTTGGAGTCCTTAAGGAGAACAGTTAAAGAGTAAAAAATTGTTTAAAAAAAATTGTTGTAACCTATTTCTATAGGTTTTAAAAAAAATTGTTGTAATCTATTAAAAAAATTGTTGTAACCTATTTTTTAAAAAAAAATTTTAAAAATTGTTGTAACCTATTTCTATATTTTACATGTTGGCCTAATTTTAGTATGTTACTTTTATAATTTTATCATTTGTTTTATCAGTATTGCTGTTCGCAGTACTGTTGGAAACTGAGACATTTTGAAACTTAATTCCTCCTCTAAGAAAGCTTACCCTAGTCCATTCCAGCAGCTAAAGCACTCCCTACTCTGTGCTGTATTCTGAGCACCATCTTGTGCTTATCACATTGAATTATAGCATTTGTTCACCTGTCTTCCTTTATAAACTGTGGATGATTCTACCCCTAGAACCCAGCACAATAACAGGAAGATGACCTCCATTCACTGAGTGTTTGTCAGACACTGAGCCAAGCATGGTACATACATAGACTCTCATCTTCAACCTTCTACTGCTGAACAAGGAGAGGCAAAGAGAGGTTTTTAAGTGGTAAATACGTGGTAGAGCAAGGAATCAAACTTATTTCGCTCCTGAGTTCACATGGAGTCTGCCTACTTCTGTTTGTCTATAACACAGATGTAGACATTCTTCATCTGCAGTTTAACAATATCAAGTATAAATCCTGTTGAAGAATTGTGCCAGAGTTAATATTTAATAGTAGTTAATATCCCAGACTCTGAAGCCAGACTTCCTGAATTCAAACTGTGGGCAGTTTACTTAACCTCTCTGTTCTTTAGTTTCACCATCTTTAAAATGGGGATAATAGTGGGACCTACCACATGGAGTAGTAGTAAGGATTAAATAAGTAAATGCAGCAAAGGACTTAGAGGTCCTGGCACATCGTAAACATGAAATAAATACTAACTGTTATTATTTTGTTTACATTGCAGCATTCCTTATATATTTGTTCAGTAGTTCTCTCTCTATATATTTTAAATCACATTTGCTTATTTGTATAGTTAAGCCTGCCTTCCTAACTCTACTTGATTAGCAAATAGATCTATTTACTGTATTAACGCATTTCATGTTTTAGTCTGACTAGATGTTTTTGTTTCTACAAGCTGCAAGAGATATTTATTTAATTATTTAATCCATTTATTGAGATTCTGCTATATTGGAGCATCTACGCTAGGCACAGGGGATATGGTCATGAGCAAAACAGGTGGAAACTCTGCTCTCCAGCTGCTCACAGCAGTGATCTCAAACATATTTTTAAATTTCACATCTCTGTCAATAAACATTCTTGAGCATGCACCCCCAAAATGAATACTTAATTATTTGTAAGTGATATATGTGTCTTTCTACTAGTCTATTGTATAGATTTTTAAATAAACTGAAAAATTGAAAGTAAAAAGGTAAAGATAAATAGAAATTAAAATTCTAATATTCTCTTTCCCTTGGGGTGTGTTCACCCCTCTTTGGAGTCCACTGACTTAAAATAAAGACAGACACTCAGAGAAACAAAAAAGAGTAAGCATGGGAAGGAATAGTTCTCTGTGTCAGGAGCCTAACTTCATCTGGGAGGCCAGTGAAGACTTTCCTAAGGAAGCAACATTTAAGATAGGATCTGAAAGGATGAGTTTGGGATTCCCTAGGCAAAAAGATTAGGGGTGAAGTGTAACACAAATAGTGTTTATAGACAAAAGCATGATGTGTTCAAGAAACTAGAAAGACTGTCACTGTGAATGGAGAGGCAGTGTCCTAGGAGTGTTAGAGAGGTTGTCAGAATGGACCAGGTGGTACAAGGCTTATTATATACTATGTTAAGCATTTAGATCTTAATTCTAAGAGTCATGGGAAATTCTGGAGGAATTAAAGGAGAAGTAACATGATCAGATAATCACCTTTCTAGTTCTATTTGGATGATACTTTTCTCCCTTACTGGTTGCTGCTAAAAGCAGGTCCAAAATAGTATACCTCAGCAAAGGATTTGAGGGACAAGTCTTATGTAGCAAATTATTGCTTAACACACTAAAAGTAATCTAATAATCATGTTGTGAGATTTTGTAACAGAAAAGGGGTAGTATATTCTGAAAAGAAAAAGTAAGACGAGGGCAAATTAAAATTTTAAATGTTTCTCTTATTTTCAAGCAATCTGAAATACAAAACCCAGGAAACAAGTCGATACCACCTACACTTATACTGTCTACTGTCTTCAGCTTACAATGGTTAGCACTTTCCTGTGAGCTTCTCACTCTGGCTCTTTTAACTTTGTAATCGAAGAAAAATCCAAATGATAATTCCAATTATGATAAAAACAACAATCATGATAGCAAAAAAAACAACTCACATGGTGGCACAGTTCTGAGCACCTTACATGTGTTACCTAATTTCATCCTCACAGTGACTTTACAAAATTGGTACTATTAATATCCCGTTTTTATAAACAGGGAGCTAGTAAGTGATAGAGACAGACTGGAAGCTACACTCTTATCTACTGTGCTCTGCTTTCTCTCTTAAGCTACTCCATTAGGTGGTGATAGATGGTATAAAATAAGAACCAGGGGCTTCCCTGGTGGCGCAGTGGTTGAGAGTCCGCCTGCCGGTGCGGGGGACACGGGTTTGTGCCCTGGTCCGGGAGGATCCCGCATGCCGCGGAGCGGCTGGGCCCGTGGGCCATGGCCGCTGGGCTTGCGCGTCCGGAGCCTGTGCTCCGCAGCGGGAGAGACCACAACAGTGAGAGGCCCGCGTGCCGCAAAAAAAAAAAAAAAAAAGAACCAAAATCACTATCTCATGGGAAAGAATTGCTTGCCCCTCTGGATTAAAAAATAATAATAATAAAAGTTTAAAAACCTTTTAATATGAGGAGCAGGAAGTTAATATTAAATGGCTTTTTTTCTTTTTCTGGCTACACAGTTTATCATTTCAGTATACTGTGATACATAAGATGTCCATATCGATTATATGATATCTCTTATATATAAATATGTAAGATCTGAGAATTACACAAAAACTAATAAAAAATATAATTTCTGTTTCCTGGAACCTATACCTTTTCAAATGACTATTATTTCAAAGCAGTTTTCTGAGCAGGAAAGTGGTAAGTGAAACTGCTCTTCTAACAAAATAGCATGACAATGTAGGCAGGAGTGAAGGGACAAACATCAGCTTTAATTAGGAAGTAGCTGTAATAATTAGGACATGAGGTAATAGCAAGTGTAATTAAAGTGGCCATCTAGAAGTGGAGCTGAAGTTATATATTTGAGGTATATTTCAGTGGAAGAATTGGTAGAGCTTCATGTCTGACTAAGCATAGGGATTAATATTTATACTGCCAAGAGTAAATGAGCTTTTATTCATTGTTTTTGATACTTGGAGGTGGTAAATTTTTTATTCTCTTGATTTTTACATTATACTTAAATACAACCAAAACTGTGAGATGTGATAGTCCAGCATTGCATTATTTAAATTTAAAACCATCTCATATTTTGTTTATGCTGTAATGAAAATCTGCAGGGCATAAATGAGATCAAGTCAGACCCAACTCAGCAGCATATGGTGCTTTCCCAATGGCTGGCATTGAAGTTCTGTTTGCATGGCTGTTGGATGTCACCACTATTAGCAGGTGTTGCCATGAAATGTGCACTGTAATGTTGAGCCAGTAAAGTGAAAATGTGCTTTGCAGCACAATGGAACCTTTCGGAATACCTATAGTTCCCTTTAAAAATGAGGCTTTTTTAATACTAAGTTTACAACTTCTTTCTCACAGTATTGTCTTCATAATATTGTCTTCCACTGTTGTATGTTGAAGGAATTCTCAAAAGCAGATCCCGAATATTTTTGTAATATGTAAACTAAAAATGTTCACAAAAATATTACTACATTATTATCACATGTGGAGCTTGTGCCATATGCACAGAAGGTATTTAAAAATATTTCATGACTGAATTTAAAATCATCTATAATTTAAATTGGAAAAACTAAAGAGTGATTTAATTTTGTTTTGCAGTGATCGGCATGTTGGTAAAATTTATTCCAAATCCTCTTCCTTTCTGGATTATGTCAGAAAGTCTCTAAAGAAGCTTGGATTAGATGAGTCCAAGGTCAGTATATGATTACCCATTGTTTTTATAAGAAACAAGAGAACTTCTATGGGGTTATGAATTGAGATAATACAAAATTATTTGCCCTCTACTTTTCTCTTATTCATGAAAAATATCTAAATTATATTGAAACCAAACTTCAGTTACCTTTATTCCAGTTCACCTTTTCTGTCAATATTATATGGATAGTTTGCTGTTGTATACCTCCAGAGTGATTCCCCTTTCAGGTTTATTCAGGTAAAAATGTGCCAATTTTCAAATCAAAATAGACTTAGCAAGCAAGAGCAAATGGGAATTGTAAGTACATCAGGAGACGATGGTTTTAATTTTAAACTGCATGTATTTAAAGGCTGTATAACCCATTAAAATTAAAAATCTTAAATTCAAAAACACTTTGAATGGTAGAATCCTGGAAAGTGGTAATGTCATAGAAAGCCCAAGGTAATAATTGAGAACATATTGTTGAAGACACAAAAGGTAAGCTGATGGACTAGTGGTAATAAATAGTCTAATACTGAGAAAAAAATAACTCTCAACATGATTCAAATGAGTTATTAACTAAAATATTAAGTTGAATCTGGATCACTTTGGTATTTTGAATTGATTTTAAATTGAAATAAAGAATAAAATAGTTGGTTAAGGAATGGTGATTAAGGTGGTTAAGGTTTCTTCTTGAAAGAGAAAAATTATACAGATATGGTTAAGTTATATCAAAGCCAGAGGGTATTATTATTTATTGTACCAGTTATCCATTTACTCCCCAGTTGCTTTATTACTTAAAGCAATTAGACTGGTACGAATAAGTTTCCTCCTGTAAAATAGCTCTGAAAAAGCATTTCTAATTCATAGGATTTAAGAAAAATTAAATGAGGTAATAGACATAAAATGCTGAATACAATGTACATAGTAAGTGCTAACTAAATAATACTAGTTTTTATGATTCTTATCTTTGTATATGTACTACTTATAATAATACAATTGATATGACTCCTATAAACATTTTTATTTAGTCACCAAAATGAAGATCCTTCTAGTCTTGCATAAATAAGAATAGACAGTGTTATCTTAGCTATTTTATTTCTGTTTTTTTAAAATATTTTTAATCAGACTGGTCTTCCTTCCAATTAGTCTTTCTTAATGCATATATTTACTTCATGTCTCAATTCCGCGTCTTACATTTACTATCAGGAACACAAACCTAAGCATAATTTTTATAAATATAGAGCTAAGTTTTTACTTAAACTAAAAATGTATTATCCTTTGTCAAAAACCAAACTGTAAAAATCCAGAAAGAGTGTTACTTATTTTTCGTGATGGCTTTCTCTTCCCAGGTTTGTCTCTAATAATAACCATAGTAAATGTTTCTTAATATGCTTATTATATTACTGATTAGAATATTAATAATAGCTAATATTTACTAAGCACTTACTATATTATAGTTATTATGCTAAAGGCATCATAACAGTATCGCATTTACTCTTCACTAAAAGAGTAAGATACTATTATTATTCCCAATGTAATGATCTAGAAAGAGAGGCTTACAAAAAGGCAAGTCATTTTCTCAGAGTTGAAGAGCAAGTGGCAGAGCCGGAACTTGAACGCAGATTCAACTTACATCAGAACCTCCGCTGTCAACCACCACTGTACTGAGAAGTGAAATTAAAAACAAAAGCAAAAAGACTAATGTAGCTAAGTATCACCATAAAATATCAGTCTTAAATGATTACCTTTATTAGTTAGCAAAGACAATTAATAGTGCCCTGCTGATTTTTCTCTTAAAACTATTTAAGTTCATTGAAAGATAAATATGTTGAATAAAATGGGTGAGGAAAAGAAAAGGAACAAGAAACCCAAGCTGGAAGGGGAGGAAAGTACAGAACCTAATAAGGCATTTCAAAGGTGGGGGGGTGAGAGGAAGCAAATAGATGAGTACGTGTTTTGAGGGGTTTTTTGTTTGTTTTTATGTTAAACAAGCGGAATTGAGAGTTGTGTCTGTCAGGCCAGAGTGGTTGGAAATAGGATAAGTTATTAAAACCAAGCTTATATTTCTGATATAATACAAAATCCTATTATTTTTCTCCCACATTATGAAATATCAGTGCTAAAATGAAGGTTTTGACCACAAACACAATAAGAAGAGATTTATGAATAGTTTTATTTAAAAAATAAAATTAATTTTCACAAGATTCTAATTACTAAAAAGTATCAAAACCGCTTAAATTTAAAATATTAGATATACCAAAGTGTTTAAAAGATCTTTGACTAAATTTATAATCATTTATTAACAAACTTATATATAATTGAAAGTGTGGTGAATACCACTGATGTGTTTCTGATCTCTCAAAGCACATCTCTTCATATTCAAAACTATGTAAGCAAGTGAAGTGCCTAGAAACCTCCTAACATGTTCTGATACTTTCTTAGTCACAAGAAATCATGTAAACATGAGGAAAAACAACATTCCCAGACAAATCATCATTCCAAAGACCAGAACAGAACAGCATGTGCTGGATATATAAGTGGTTCATACACAGCTTAAAATATCAATCCATAAGTCCTGTAGTCAGTTGTGACAGACAGCATTGGACATTTTCTCTTAGAGCAGGATTTTGTCAAACTCAGCACATTTGGATAATTCTTTATTGTGGAGAACTCTCCTGTGCATTGGAGGATGTTTAACATCTTTGACCTCTACCCACTAGGTGTCCGCAGTAGCACCCTAATTGTAACAATCCAAAATAAATAAATTTTTTAAAAAATCTCCAGACATTGCCACAAATGTCCTGGGGGTCAAAATCACCCCCAGTTAAGATCTGCTGTCTTCAAGCATTTGTCATTTTAGTGATTCCATTAACATTCCCATTATAGACCCCATATTATCTTAAAATGCCATGTTACACCAAGAAACATAGAGTGGGGAAATGGGGAAAAGCAGTGATTCTGTTCTTATATTTTGAAGACTTTTTATCAAAATGATCCCCTCCTTGATTTTTAATTTTTCATAGCCTTAACCGTTTAAGGGTGATATTGTTTCACCCCTGCATAAGATACAGTTCTGTTTAAGAAGAGTGTTTAGATTTCACAGTAAAGCCAAGCCACTGAAAACAATAAATTGTGGCAGAACATCAGCTACCTTATATCAGCAAGTATACTGTTTATAATAGATGGACTACTTAGAATGACATTTTACAGTAATATTACTTGTAATTGAGTAAAGTTCAATTACTTCTTTGTAAAATATTTTAATACAACTTTGCAGTTGTCTAAAATAACAAAATCCTAGTGATTAGCTTTACCTAGACCTTAAAAAAATTAGGTATTTTTAAATTTTATCTTCTGTCCCAAACTTTGGCATCTCACCAAATTTCAGAAAACCTTTAAAATTGTATTCAAGGTTTCATATTCATGGACCACAGCATTTTTTTCTTCTTTTGTATTAATTTTCTCTCTTTCTCCTTCCACATGCATGTACTGCACACACACGGATACATGAGCATACACACACACACACACACACATCTGTAAATTTTTGAAGCATCAGATTTTAAAAGCAGCAAAACTACTATTGCTTGCTAGACAACGAACGAGCTGGAGCATTTGTCCATAAGAAGGGGAAATAAAAGGAGCTTATGTTCTAGAGCTTGCATGTATGTGTGTTTGTGTGCTGTATACATATGATGAATATTCAAATAAATATTACTCTCAGATATTGAGAATGAAATAGACAATAAAACTGGTGATTTAACAGGAGTGGGGTGTGTGCTGTTGAATGGACAAAGTTGAAAATCACTAAGATAGAACCTTAGTGGAAGGGATAGAGGATAACTCAGAAAATTATCCTTAAATATTTCTCCAAAACAGGCCAACAAAAGCAAAACTTTTGAGACCAAAATCATTTAGTTATTCGCCAGCAAACATTTATTTTGAAGAATCTCCCATGTGCCAAGAAGAGTGGAAACTCTGGAGCTACAAAGATAATTAAGACATAACCCATGAGAAAAGAAAACAAGTAATTATAGCATGAACTTACAATGTTTGACATATAAGTATGTATGCTTGGAGTGACTCACTCTGCCTGTAAGATTTCTCAGAGGACATTGATGCCTTAGCTTGGTTTTGAAGGGTGCATAGGAGTTCATTAAGCAAACAAGGTGGGAAGGTAGGGAGCAGGGAATTTCAGGTGTGTGTGGTGGGGGGAATAGCTTGTACAAAACCACAGAGAGTAAGAAACATGATTCTGGACTCAGCACAGCTGGAGCATAAAGCAAGTAGAGGAGACAGTGGTGAGAGATGAGGCCAAAGGACTAGGCACATGTGGAGAGACCAAATAAACTGATCTTTGGACATTAGATCAAAGATTAATTAGTAGTAATCATAATCACTAGGTGGTTTCAATAGAAGTGGGAGGGCAACAAAAAATACAAGGAGCTCATAAACTTCCATGTAGTAATATTCAGTGGTTCCTCGGTATCCATGGGGAATTGGCCCCCCACTGATAACAAAACCCAAGGATGCTCAGGTCCTTTATATAAAATGGTATAGTACAGTCAGCCCTCTGTATCTGCGGGTTCCACATCTATGGATATGGGGGACTGACTGTATCCAGAAATGATCTATGTTATATGAGGTCATCTGACCCTAAAGAAACAGCGAATTCCTGATACAGTTTAAATATATATAGGAAGCCTGTCATCTTTGGTGATATGCAAAGAACATGTGCATTATTCCCATAAGTAAGTTCCTACTGCTTTTTACAACCACTATAATAACACAGGCATACCTCAGACTGTGGGTTCAGTTCCAGAGCACCACAATAAAGTAAATATCGTAATAAAGCAAGTCACGTGAATTTTTTGGTTTCCCAGTGCAGATAGAAATTATGTTTACACTGTACTTTAGTCTATTATGTGTGCAATAGCATTATGTCTAAAAATATAATATACATGCCTTAATAAAAAATATTTTATTGCTACCCTCTTGCACTGTTGGTGAGAATGTAA